AAACAGGTGAGTTTGTCGAACCTGTGGGTCATTGTGGAAAAATTGTTCCGGACGTTTCGTAAGCACTAGTCACTTTCATGCTCAGATGAGTTTCACTCGAAAGTTTTGAATGGACTGACGAATTATCGAGCTGTGAGTTTTTGGAGCTTTTTGGATGTCGGGAAAAATAGTTTTCATAGCGTTTTACAAGCACCAGTTGCCCACATCTTCAGATGTGGTTTATTCTACCACCAGAATCAAAAAAAAATATTATAAAAATATCCTCAGTATAAGCTTTTGAGAAAACCATCTCTGCATGCCAAAGTTGCCTGCAAAATTTCAAGAAAAAGTCAACTCAAATCATCAAACTTGTGAATTGTTCGAGCTTTGCTGCTGCCCTTAGCCACTGAAGATGCGAGTCACTAGTGCTGGCTAAACGTCAGGAAAAAACTATTTTCTACGAGTTCCTAAAAGCTTGAGCAATTCACCAGTCTCTCAAAAAAATGGTATTTACATAAATTCGCGCTGAAATCCGGTTGTTGGAAGTTTCCCGGACAATTGATTGAATCTTAAACCATTTTTGACGGAGGCGAAAAGTGCGAAAAACTCGCGATGGAAATCTGTTCAGTATAAGCTGTTGAGCAAACGATCTCTGAGGATGCACGCCACACTTGCCTGCGAAACATCAGGAAAAAAATCGACTGAAATTTTCAAACTGATGAGTGTTTCGGACTTTCGGGTTGCAGCTCTGAGCAAACCGCCTCTCCTACTTGAGCCGTTTTTAAAACACTTTCATCTCTAAAAAAAAGCCCAGAAATTTCTAGTTGATTTACAGAAACTGGTAAATTTTTTTTTTAACGTTTTCCGTTTAATTGACTGATCTTTAACCTCGAATATCGTTCTTTGTGAACACAAGCTATAAAAGCGACACGTTTCCCAATTTAATACGGTTATAAATTGTGTGGTTTTGTGACTTTGAGCTCAATTCTTTCGGATCATATCACCCATTTTTTCTAGATCAATTTGCCTTCGGAATTGTCTGCCACAACATAATATTTCGGTGTATTTGGCACCGAAATATGTTATCTAAATGGTTTTTTTCCATCCCATTTGCATACTCTTCGACACATGCCTATGTCGGTTTTCTAAAAGCTTTTTTGCTGACACCTGCTTTTGAGGCGATATTCAAATATTGTATTTCGGTGAATTTCGTTGCTTTCAAACCGGCCCCAACCTCTAGTTCGTCTGAATAAACCCTGTTAATGAAGCTCGTCTGGCTTGTTTTCGCATAATTCAATTAAGACACTTTCATTCACAAAGCTTTCGCTGTTTAGGCTCAGTTGAGCATTTTTTTGCATTCAACCTTTGATAAATTCGGTAAAAATAACAGTATTTTATGCGGTCTGTTTCAAGCACATATGGCTCTCCCTTGAGGGTCAAAAGGCAGCTTTTTAATATACACCCCAGCAAACATTATAGGTGCCCTTTGGAACGATTGGAGCAAACCGTCTACACATAATGATTACCATAAATTTCGGTAAATCATAAAGCAACTGATCGTTTTTTACGGTTATTTAAAATCGGCAATGTTTTCCTCAAATGCTTTTATCAAAGTTCGTCAATTACTAGAATTTATCGTCAATTTAAAATTTATTTATTTTTTACAAATGCAGCGTTGCTAGATTTTAAATGGCCGGCAGAATCCATGATAATAATCTCCCGTTTCGTACGTTGAGAACTTTAAATATTTCATGCTGCTCAACATGAAAACTTCGAGAATTATGTGTTTTAATTTAAATTTGCAAAATAACTCGCACTCGCAGGAATTTATTCGTTGACGCTTTGGGGATTTTCGACAAGTGTATCGTTAATTTGATAAAGGTGGAGAGTGGCTTAAGTAAGTAGCTGAATTAATTACTAAACGTACCTGTGAAATTTCCTTCATTTCAACAGTCAACTGTAAATGAATCATTGATGGCTTTTAGGAGGAACCGTCTGCAATTGAAGAGAGCAAGAGTTGCCAGACGTCAGCAACAAAAGCCGAAGGAAAAATAATACGTGCGCAAAGTGATAAAATGTCATATATCATGGAAAGTTTTAATAAAACTAAATTGCAGATGTACTAAAGTTGCAAGAAACCACTTTTTTGCACTCGAAGAAAATCTAAAAGCCCTTAAAGAAAACTGCTGCCTTGTACCATGATTGATGCGCACCGCATAACCGAGCATTTAATATTAAAGCATCTTCGAGGCGAGAAAGGAGGTTTCACGTGTTTTTCTTATCGTTCAGGGTATCTCAGTTTAAAGAAAATGTATTAAACCTTTAAAGAATTTTCTTTGCGCGGTTCATCCTACTTGACTCGATGTAATTTGTGTAAATCTCCCTTGTCAGGGGGAGCTTTGTTTGAATGTTTTATATTTTCAGATAATAACTACACTAATAACAAAAAAACAGGCGAATTCGTCAGGCGAAAACAGTYAGCCAAAAAAGTGTTTTTGATCCAAAGCACTTTCATCAGACTATCGTCGATTTCAGGTCAAATGTGCCTGGAATCAATACATTGGTTTCTTCGCGCTAAGTTGCTGGCTTGGAAAGTTTTCAGAAAAAATCAATTTTCCATGCAAAGTAATTTCCATAAAGCTGGGCAGAATAGGTTGGTGGACGTGTGATAAACGGGCTGAACATTTCATCACGTCCAGCTGCCCCATCAACGCTCAAAATCAGATTGGAGCCCTGACACGAACAACTCGTCAGCACACGTTTTAATTAAATGCTAAGGTTTAGGTACAAATGTGTTACATTTTTTAATTAAAACGAAACATAGATGGTTAATACCGAATTGATATAATTAAGCCTCATGCGAAAGAGCCGGAAAATGTTGAACAAACGACTGATTTTTTAAATTTTATTATCCTTCATACATTGGCCCTTTGGTGCAATTTTATTTTACCCGCAGCTCATAATACCAAGTTAAATACCCGCACATTTTGGTTGCACGTTAATTTAATCCAGCTTAAACATTGTCAGAATAATCCCTGCGTTTGTTGAATGCAAAACTTCAAATCAATATCTGCCAATGAAATGGATTTTCGCTGTTCAGCCCATTTCCAGCTTTGAAATGGTTTTTAATTGCACTTCCAAAAAAATGTTCTAAATACGTCTTGCGGTATTTTTCAGACTGCGGAAGCGGTTTGCGCGATTTAATTAAAGAGCGGAATTTCGCACGCTAAAATAACTGAAATATTTAAATTATAACTGATTTAAGCCCTCTTTGAAAGTAAGAAATTACTACTATTACGGGGGAGTTTGCGGAACGTTTGCAATTTTAATCATAGAACATTTAGACGACTGAATTTGTTTCAAATTAGCCTGGAATTTTAATACCTTCAGTTAGATGATATTAATCCCCCCAAACGGAGTTAGAATTAAACGTTTCCATTATTCATCAAACCCTCCTAGTCGTTAGTTTCGCTTAAACAACAATCATTCGATTTTTGTCCGGGTTTATTCAACCATTTGAATAAACTACATGTTCGTCAATAACACGCCAAATACATATCGTGCAAAAATTGAATATTTTTTACTAGGCAAAACATGCGGGCATGTCGCGAAATAAAAATGAGCACACCGCTCACTGGGAGACATTTTCATCGTTTTGCCAAGTTTTAACTTGTTTTTTAAAATGTTCACGTTCTCTTTAGTGCTTTTCTTACTTCTCTTTATAGCGCTGACGATTCTCAGCCACAGAATGATCATAAGTGGTTTGAAGTAGGACATTTTATACATGAAATGTGAATTTTTCACTTCGTATCCGAACAGTTTTTTTGTTTTAGAGCAGTTTTTCGGTATTAAAGGGGAAGAAATCAATAAGTGTGCAAATGTGTTTTGCTAGAATTTCAGGTGGTTTCGAAGGCATTTTTGCTTGAAAAAAAAATTATGTGCTGCATGAATTGGAGCAAAAGGGTTTTATGGCTTGTGTATTTGTTATATTTTAGCTTCTTAGATGATTTTAAGCAGAAGTCGGTTTATTAGGGCAAAATATGGGTTAAAGTTAAAATGTTTCGTTTAAAATTGGTGTAGATACAAAAGCCGTTTTTTTATTGATGATTTTTTGGCGAGTGTTGGCAGTTTCTGTAATTTTTCCAAGGTTTTATTTAGTTCTACCATTTTTCCTACATTTTACATTTGTGTGTGTAATTTTCGGGCACCAGAAATGCCTAAGCAACATTGTGAGGGCGAAAAACGGTTCATTTTCCTCATATTTTCATCATCACGCTAATAGTTAACGTTAGAACTGCACAATTGAAGCAAATTAAAGACGAGCTGTACATAAATTAGGATTTTATAAAAAAAAATATTTTTCTCCATTAACATCAACCAATTCTAATAACGAATGTTTAATTTATCAACGAAGAAAAATAAAGACTCTTGTGATATTTTGGGACTGACTATACGCTGGTTTGATTGAAGAACGCGCATTGCTATGCATTAGCCCTGAGGATGCCCAGATAAACGCCGAAACGCCGGCAATTTTAAAAAAGCAGGCGCTTGTTTTTCTACCGATTCCAACCCGCTTGTGAAACCTGTAAGCAAAAGCCCTTTTTTTATTTGCCTATGTTTCACCACGTTTATTTTATATTATTTTGCACTGGCTCTGATGATGGCAAAGTAAACCTGCCAAAACGTCGGCTATTAAAAAGGAAACGTTTTTTGAACTGTGAAGGGACAACTCAAAAATTGTTATTTTGGAATCCGCCGGACATCGCCACACATTAGCCCTGAGGATGCCAAAGTGAATATAGGAAAACGTCTGCAATTTTAAAAAACAAGCGTTCGTTTTCACACCCGTTTAATTTCGGTGTTAAAGCAATCTTCATTATTCACCTGGCGTCTGGGTTTCAGAAGCGTCGCAAATTTTATGTTTCTGTTTGGAAAATTGAGTGTTGCTTTATGCAATTTAATCGGACCGCTTTAGGACCAAAAACCCGACTGAGACTGCACTGGAAGACTGGAAAACTTACCAGTTACTCCAGAAGACTAAAAGCTACATAGCCCTATCCATATATCCATTGGAGTCAAAATGGAAAGAACCAAGTCGGCCACTGATCACCACCAAATCAAATGTTTCACTGATCCGAATCACCAACAAAAAAACCCGAAAAAACAACCCTCACCAACTGCAGCTGTTGACCAATTGTTAACGAATTGTAGACGATCAGACGCCTGTTTGCACCTTGTTTATATTCGCAATTATGCTGGCAAACAAACACCTAGCAGGGGTTGAAACCTCGCTAATACACCCCTAATTCGCGCTTGAATCTCTCTCAACCGGAAAATCGTCAACGCAACGCGGAAAAGCGAGTCGATCGGGAAAAGCGCGACGACGTAAAGCGAACGACAGTCGAATTAATACTACACCAAGGGTGGCTGGATCTGGGAAAACTACCCCCACCAGCCGATCTCCAGAAGATAGGGGCGGAAAATCGGGTGGCGGTGCGGTGAGACACTGCTGGGTAGTGGAAAACTACTTCCCCTACAGGCTTCTGGCTGCATCCAGAACATAAAAAGGACGAGAAGTGCATGCAGATAAAGATAAGTCAGGTGAAATTTTCCCAATGTGGTGGTCGGAATGTTTATAAAACCTGCTACCGCATGACTCGCTTCAAACGGTTTTTTCTTGGGTGATTTTGATAGAAAATACGCAAAAAATCTACCCAAAATTATCCTCAAGTTTTAGAGAGAAAAAAAAGTGAGTCTGAGAGAAAAGTTGCCAAAGGACAATTTTATACACAGTGTGCTAGTTTGGATCAATTGACAATAAAACGCTATTTCAAGCGTAGGAAAATTCGATTGACTGAACAAGTTTTACGAAAAACACGCAAAATTAATCGGTTTCTTGATCTCCTCTCTGTGTTTAATGAATGAATTTTCCAATCAGTATCTCCAAAATAGCCTCAAAGATTTCGAAAAAAAAATCCTCAAAAAAACTTATTTTTGAGACAACTAACATTGGTCCCGCTCTTGCAATTACCCGTTGGAAAATTCGATTCCTTGAGCAAGTTTTACGGAAATCACGCCGAACTGATCAATTTCTCAACCACCTTTGTGTGTTTAGGTGAATTTTTTGATCAATCTCCCCAAAATGCGTCAGAAAATATTTGAAAAAAACTCTTCAACCTTTGATTGAAACTTGTAATTTTTGAGAAAACATCATCTCGCCCTCGCAGTTACACCTTTATTTATACACAGTGTCCTAGTTTCGATTTCATCGACAATAAAACCCTTTTCCAACGGTCGGAAAATTTTGATTCACTGAGCAAGTTTTACTGGGAAAAAGATTCCATCCTGTAGTGAAATTTATCTGGACGAAAATCATTAAAGTTCGAGAACAATTTTAGATTGCAATGTAAAATATGTACCGTGAAAATGTTCCGGGGCTACTAAGCCCAAGAAAAAATCATATAAATCATCCGACTTTTGATGTATTACGACAGAAGCCACTTACTGTGAAAGATTAACTTGTGAAATTTCTATATAATTCATCATTTGGATTTATACCTATTTGAAATGTGTATTCGGCCCCCCTTTTCCAAACCAGTAGGCGCGATAAAGTTTGGTTAATTTTAGTAAGTTTTGTAATTTTTTTTAAGAGTTTTGGATGAATTTTGGGCGATTCATTTGCGGGAAAATCAATCCGGAATTCGGTCTAAGGGTAATGGCAACCAAATAACCGTAGCTGCTTCTACTGTTATCATAAGCAGTGTATAATTACAATGTTGATATCCGTCTCTCAATGGGCTTCTAATGGATTAAACATTTATCCAGCCAATTCGCCTCAAGGTAGGAAATGTGTATTAATTAATCGAACTCACCGAACGCGATCCTATTCACGCACAGAGTTTAATAATTGGCTTCAGCCACTGGATTTTTGTTGGACAATTGACCATGGAAACTGCTAAGTACTTTAGGGGAACGTAATTCCAATTTCAGCACTATCCAGTTACACATGGAGCATGAAAAACAGCGACCGCTTTTAGCTTTTTACTGGTTTCGAATTCTTAACGCTCTGTTCTAATTGATTCTCTATCGGCTCTATGCTCAACATTTGGAGCTCGGCAAATAGTTGAGTAAAAACCAGGCGTAATTTATCAATTGATTTGACAGCTAATGCACTGCAAAGTGGTTGAATACACGGCTCACAATCCCGTCATAGACTCTGATTTAGAATAGAGATCGACTCTGTATCGGGACGCGATGGAGCGGCGACCATTAGGAAATTATTCGCGATTCACTGAGCGAATTTTACGGGTATCTGTTTTTCCAGCGGGATAATCTTGCTAATTTTCTGCTTTGATAATGAGATGGAAAAGCAAAAACCAGTGTCGACAACTGTGGATCTTGATCGAGAATCGAAAGCAACTTGGAAATCTTCGATTGATCAATTTTGTCGAGACGTTTCTTCAGAGATGTTAGAGCGAAAACGCCTCTAAAGTTTAATTTTTCAGTGATGAAATTGGTTAGTTTCACCCGGAAAATTGACCCAAACCGGCCAATTTTTAACGATTTTTCGCTTTCTATCCTCACTCAGCACAAAGTAGCAGTAAACCCGCAAATAAATCCTCAAACGTTATTAAACCAAAACAGATCATTTCCGCGATGTTTACCCGATATGCCACGATACAAATCTGATCTCTATTTGCGTTTGTGTTGTCTGATGATGGCGGCGCGAGTTAGATTAATCGGCTTGGATTCCGAAGCTCTGCAAACACGCTACTTTTCAAAACCAATTTGCAAAAATACTCCAACCAGCCGGGATTTATGTGAACCGAATTGGAAGTTTATGTTTAAGTCCCTTAAATTATTCGCCAATTATTTTATGATTCAATTAGCGGGATTTGAAAATGGGCAAATTTACAAAAAAACCCACTGGAAAGATGAAATAATTTTTGGTAGAACTGCTGGGGCTTGATTATCAGGGGCGGATCCAGCTTTAAATTCAGGGGGGGGG